GAGCCAAGGCTGTTGGCGACTTCGCCGTAGGCGACCAGCAGGTGCCAGGGAGGAGACCAGGCACTTGCGAGGCCTCGGCCAGGGGATCGTCTGTGAGAAGCTCAGAGATGAGTCCCGGCTGGGCCGAGGCCTGTGGCCAGGGAGGAGCGTCGTCTGTTCCACTTGGCAGCGGGGGGTCAGGCGCCGTCCCTCAGACGCCGTTCAGGAAGGCTGGTTCCGGGGCCAGGAAGCCTCGTGGGACCGCAGGGTGCGCTCCCCTCACCTCCGTGACTTCCCGGTGAGGGCGCGTGGCCGTGTCCTCCAATCACAGCAAGATCTGCATCTCCCACCAACAAGCAGCACAAGGGGCCGCCCGTCCTCAGTGGCGTCAAACCCCCGCCCCCTGCCTCCCAGGCCCCTCGCTCAGGGACAGTCACCACAGGTCGGAATAGACGTGGGTTTCTCCTCAGTTCAGGTTCTGCCTTACACATACACACACGCACACACACACTCGGCACGCACACACCGCACTCCACACACGCACACACACACCACACTCTACACACACACACACACCACACTCTGCACGCACACACGCCACACTCTGCACACGCATACAGACCATGCACACCGCACATGCATCACACACACATACACACCACGCACACTGCACACACCACTCTCCGCACACACACACCACACTCTGCACGCACACACGCCACACTCTGCACACGCATACAGACCATGCACACCGCACATGCATCACACACACATACACACCACGCACACTGCACACACCACTCTCCGCACACACACACCACACTCTGCACGCACACACGCCACACTCTGCACACGCATACAGACCATGCACACCGCACATGCATCACACACACATACACACCACGCACACTGCACACACCACTCTCCGCACACACACACCACACTCTGCACGCACACACGCCACACTCTGCACACGCATACAGACCATGCACACCGCACATGCATCACACACACATACACACCACGCACACTGCACACACCACTCTCCGCACACACACACCACACTCTGCACGCACACACGCCACACTCTGCACACGCATACAGACCATGCACACCGCACATGCATCACACACACATACACACCACGCACACTGCACACACCACTCTCCGCACACACACACCACACTCTGCACGCACACACGCCACACTCTG